TGTGGCAGGAGGGGCGGGGTTCAGCGAGGCCTGCATCGGGAGAGAGAGGCAGGAGACGAGCGGTGCGTAAGTGGGTCAAGTACAAACGATAAACACCTGTGTCTTGTTTCAGTAATTGGTGTGGAGAGACCGGATAAAAGAGGCCACCTGGAACAGGTTGGGGAGGAACAGTCTGGGTACGCGAGCAACCCGGGAAGACGGGTGTAGATACACGGAAGCCAGTTGCATTCTGTTTGTTATGAGTTACTGACTGTGAGTCTTACCGCGCTGAGTGAGCGCCGTGGTGTGTACAGTGCGGGAACATTTGTTACATTTACCATTTTGTTGAGTTTAAAACGTGTGACACATTCATTCTGCTCTCACTGATCATTTCGTGCCCTAAATGAGGAATAATATTTCTATTAGGAAATGTAATAAAATAAATCTATTGCCTATCCTCTCGGGATACCTGGAGTCAGTGTTACAAGTACCACACGTTTTTTTTTTCTTTTCATTTTTGAAGCATAAACACCATTAAACTGATGCGAGCTTCGGATCTTCCAGTGTTTCTCTATGGCACTGAAAGCTACAGATGTCCGAGTTCCGCTCCCCATGCAACTGATACTCGACTGCCATTGGCTCATCTGCGTTATAGGGGAGGGGCTTACCGATAGGTCAATTGCATGCTCACGAGTCCTCTCATTTTAACACACGAAGCGTAGACATTGTGAAAGATTCATTGTGCATGTGTTCATTGTGTTATAACAGAGCTTTATGAGATCGCGATGAACTGAGATGTCAGCTTTTAGTGATAATAAAGGAAGCGCTGCTCGCATTCTGCCATGCCAAACCAAGCGCAGCAGTCCATGCTAGCTTTTCTGTTAAAAATAACAGTAGTTTGTGAATGTGGATGCTTAGCCTAAATAACAAATATTTTATCGGGAGCGTTTAGGCTGGGATGTTGTGGAGCTTAGGAGATGTTACAGAACCATAACATAAATTTCTTCGATGTACTGAAAAAAATCTATATAGATTACTTTTATGCGGGCGGAAGCAGGACCAGATAAGATATATTTCTGTGGGAGCGGCACTGAAAAATCTGTCTCTACATTGAACACATGAAGAAAGGGCACCTTCAAAAAGGCATGGAAAGCCAAGACACCAGCTGAAATCTATCAGTAATTAAAAAGCAATCCTGCCCCTCTTCAGTGGAAATTAATATTAGCTGCTTCAGTCCCAACACCTACAGTACCAGGATGATGAAACAAGGGTGGACATTTCAGCAAGACAATAATCCCAAACACAGCCAAGGAAACTCGATTGGTTTCAGAGAAAGAAAGTAAAGCTGCTAGAATGGCCAGCCAATCACCTGACTTGAATTCAATAGAAAATCTATGGAAAGAACTATAGATCAGAGTTCATAGAAGAGGCCCACAGAGCCTTCAAGATTTGAAGACTGTTTGTGTATTAAAGGCTCCTGTAAGAGGGACCTTTATTATGAAACTAGTACTTCGGTAGAGGGCAGTGTAGTTTGATGAGCTGCTGCTGTTTGCTGTGTTTGAGTGATCTGTCCGAGCCGTCAGCTGCAAGGATGATACTTTCACTTTGTTCGTGGGGTTTTTTGCAGATTTATTATCAAGGTGGTAGTCACTGACCACAAAGTAAGCCTATGTTATTTATATTTGTGTTTACAGTGATCGCTACAGTGTTATATGCGTTTGTACCATATGAACATGCCCAGACGTCCTGTAACAATCGTTCTGTAGTATTCAGATCGGGAATATTACTTAACGGGTAATTATTCATTCTTTATCAAGATGTAAATCAGTGTTATGATGTCTTAATGACATGATGTTGTTCTGTTAAGCTGCTACAATACCAAACGAGTGATTAGCGTTCTGTTCAAATGTTACTCCGATGCGCCACGATTCTATCCATATGTGGGAACTTTGTTCATAGGGACAAATGATCACTCATGACTTGTAGTTTTCTGTGAAATACCTTGTTTCCCTTCATTTAACTGTATGTTCAGTAGAGAAATGCCAATTATGTGAATTATGAATGCTTTGGTTTCATTATGTAATCGTAAATATTATTATTGTTTATCTATATCTTTAGCTTATTCATTTCTTTATTGTACTTATTTTGCAGACTATCTACACCTTTGATTGTACCTCTGTGACCCTTCCTTTTCTCTACTAATACACCATCGAAAGCTAATCACCTGTCTCTTCATTATTGGTGCTCTGACTTGCACCCAGGGGGGTTTACTCATCCATTACCTGATCAGAACCTAACAGTCCCAAAGTCTCTATAACAAGATGTTTTTTTTTGTTTTTTACTATTATTATTATTTTTTTTAAGAAAAAATAAGCAATCAAAACCATCATTAAACCAAGCCATCTTTATGCTGTGCACTAAAAATGAGATATCGATCATTGCAGTTTCATTATTCAAAACAAACATTCCAAAAAGTAAAATCGCTATGCAATGTTGGGTTTAAAAATGATTTGTACATTAAAAAATGTGATAGTTTTAATATATAAAAATTCAAACAAAACTTTTCTGAGTGAGTCTGGCGGCTTCAGCATCTTCGATCACTGCATCTGTCATGTAAAACTCTGAGCAAACACTAGTTTCACTTATTAGTGTGTGATGAATCCAGACTCACCAGGTCTTTGAAGGCTCCCAGTACGGCAGCGGTGATGATGCCCAGAAACACGCCGAGCACATTGAGCGTCACACAGGCCCACAGCAGACGGTACAGATTCACCACGTCCCAGCAGCTGCTCACACCCGTGAACTCATAGTACTGCACACGGTAGTCCACGCTAACACACACACACACACACACACACATGCAGTACAACGCTCAGTAACACACAGCTGTGCTGCAAACACTCAGTGACTCACCTTTCGCCACAGTCAGGACTTAGCTTTCTGATATTCCTTGCTAATCAGACTCTTTTATCTTGAATAAAGTGTTACACTTAAATATCATTGAGTACATTAATGATATCTGCCTTGTTCTGTTCTGTTAACCCTGGGGGGGTTATTATTGCTGCTCTCCTTGCTCATTCATGACAGGCTGCATGGATGGGCAGGGAGGTTTTTTGCCCAGAACAGAACCATACCGCCAAACCAAACTTTATGCTAAGTATCTATCATTTTGACGATAGTGGTCCTGACAGAAATACATTTCAGTAAGCGTGTTCAATACTTTTTCCCTGGGTCATTCCACTTTATTACACAGAACTTAATTTCTGAACTTATTTGTAATGTTTTCTTTGTATGTATGGATTAGTTGGGTTGTTACCGACATCTGGTGAAAATGTCAAGTGCACCTTTAGAAATATATTTACTTGAGAAAAATGGTGATGTTTTCAATACTTATTTTACCGCTGTATGTGCATGTAGAACGGGGCTGTAAAATAAAGTGCCAGCAGTACATCAGTAAACCGGCTGATTTCAGTCTGCTTTGGGTAGTTTTCGGTCAGGTTTGGTAGTTATGAGTGTAATGGAGTGTCACTGTTGTTTGTCCATAGAGTGAAGTGTGTTGACTGTGTTGAGCGTTGTTTGGTTCCCAGAGTTCCTGAGGATATCTCGTGTGTTCCCTGACCCTGAACAGTAACACTGGTGTGTTCGTGAATGTGTTTCAGGATGGAGACGTCATCGCCCCAGAGCTCACCCCACTCAAACGGGACTGGAACACGCTGGAGCGAGACGGCGAGGACAGTGATGGCAGCGATGAACACAGTCGTCCCAGAACGAGAGAGGAAATGCCCAGGAAGACCGGGCATAATGTGAAAGTCAGCCTCTTTCAAGCTCAGGAGGAACGCAGACTCTGAACCACTGGCCATCGCAGCGTTTCTCTCTGTGACCAGATGCTCATTCTGTCACAGAGTGTTTTTGAGCTTCATTTAAACTGTGTTTGCCTCTGTTTGCTTTTATTTTCAGCTTTAATATCATGTTCACAGCCAGGGTTTTAATGCAACTCGCACCTCTGACACAGAGACACTTTATTATACATCAGTCCAGAATGAATGTCTCTCTTCTCCATCCATCATGTTTCGATGCAGAGGGAAAAGTTAAATGCGTTTTGGCATTCTTTTTTTAATATTATTTTTTTAAAACTTTTTATCAGGGACTCACTGTTACTTCTTTCCTTCTGTTAATCGGCCCTCCACTCACTCGCAGTGTGGAGAAACTCATGTTATAATGGCTCTCGAAGGTGATGGCATTTTCTATATCTATATGTGAGCACTATAACTATATTTTTTTAGACTTCAGCCTCTTTGTATTACAGTACTGGGTGATGGTGGCCTGATTTTCTTGGATCTGGTTTCAGATGTTCTCATCTTCTCATCAGTACAGGCTTTTGCTGTGAACAGAAATCTGACTCTGTTATGCTCGGTTATATTTCAGTCTGTACTGACGTATTAAAAGTCACAGCACAATCTCATCAAGGCTCTTGTACAGAAAAAGGTTCCCTTGAGGAACATGTTGCACATGTGATGCTTGGAGATGTCATGCTGAAACAATGCAAACTCAATCAACATCTCAAAATCCAGAGCATGCAAATAAAAATCCAGTCATGTAATTCTTTGTTTTAATGTACGACTCGTGGCCTGATAGTGAACATGTCATAAAGCACAGAGTCAGACCCACGTTTATGTACTTACTTTAAATTAATTTTTTTGATACATTGTAATTATGGATTATTTTTAAATATAAATGCACTGTCGACCCATCACTTAAACTTGACCAAACAACCAAACCAGTTCCTAACCTCACCTCAACAGTAGCAAAAGTGATTTGCAATGTAACATGAACACAATAAGTGCATTATACCCTTTTTTTCTTTTTCCTCTTTTTGACTGAAGTACATAATAGTTAAATACACCTAACATAAAATGAGACCTAAAGTACTGTTGACAAAATGATCTCCTCAAGGTAGTTCTCCATATACAGTAGTGGTTCCTGAAGGGACAAGCTCACACTACACAACACACCAAGGTGCACAAACTTACAAGACATTTGGTCAAGAGACAGTCCTGGCCAACGGGGAAAAAAACATGGTTAAACTTTATTTTAAGTTGTCATTGTTACGCTGTAATCATACATTTAAGTAGTGAGTAATATTAAATAATTACATGTTCTTACTATATGGTTAGGGTTTGGCTTAGGGTTAGGGTTACTTGCATGTAATTATGCATTAATTTGCATAAGTTATTGTTATCATAATAGTAAGTACATGTAATGTGTAACAAGGACACCTTACATTTTAAAGTGTTACCTAAAACGTTTTCTCACATATATTCACACAAGAAATTTAATGCAAGGGATTACAAGTTTATTCCATTTCTCCCATCGGCACTGTGATTGTCATTTTCCTTATCCACCTTTAAACTGCAGCTGACCTGACCATTGACTATAGATGCCCAAAGCAGCAGCTGGCGGTCCTCAGGTCAGGAGGGGTTTGTATGGCAGGTCAGTGATGGAGCAGCGTGCGACTGCTCACAAGTCGGGAGTCTATTCAGTCATAGTGCACAGCTACTTGACATATGTTAACAGTAGTCTACTTTCTAGTGTAGACTAGAGGTGTGATCACACTACAGCTGATCAGACATCAGAGCTTCAATAGTAAACTCACGCTGAAAGACTAGCCTCAGCAGCAGCTTATAAACACACAGGGAAGAGTTCGGTTGGAGTAACTGATGACTGCTCTCCGGTCAGATGTGCTTCATCCGTGAAGTACATTAGAGCTGTTTATAGGCCACTCTCACTTCAAGTGTTGTTGATGTGCATTAACAGTAGTTAGTGTGCTTTGTGGTCACTTTTTAGATCTGTTGTGGTTCATAGATATGTTGGCACTTTACAGCACTTCACAGCCACTCTCATGTCAGCAGTAGTCTATAATGCTGGTCAACCATTTTAATGAGTTAATACTTCCAGGCGAGCTGAATTCATGCTGGCCTTCCGGGAGCAGGACTGGACTCCCCTGAACAAAGTACTGACTTAAGGGTCTGAATACTCACAACGGGATGTTTTTAATAATTCTGCAAAGTTATCACAATCCGGTTTTTGCTATGACTGCCATCAGCACTGGCCAATATGTTCATCTCAATATGTTAAGTCAAGTCACCTATATATATATATATATTTTTTTTTTTATGCTTTATTTATATAGCGCTTTTAACAATACAGTTTGTGTTAAAGCAACTGTACAGCATTAATTAGGAAAATAGTGTCAATAATGCAAAAAGACAATAGTAAACACTCAATTTTCAATTAAAGGCAGTTCATCATTGAATTCAGTGATGTCATCATCCAGCTCAGTTCAGTTTAAATAGTGTCTGTGAAACTGGGCTCAGTCGGGGGGCCAGTTCTCCTCTGTTGCAACCTAGAATTAAACTGCTGGTTTCGTCTGGCCAAAGTCACATTGAGAAGAGGACTCAACTGGTTCCTGTGCTCTTGCCCCAGTGGCTGTCTAGGAGACAAGGTCTTCACTGGGGATCTGTCTCTGGGGCTCATCTAGTTGTCCTGATCTCTGCTGACATTCAGGGCTGTAGAGTAGAGGTCTACACGGGTCCAAAAATCCGAACCCGAAAAGACCTGTAAATGTGCTACACTGAACCGACCCAGACCCGTCTATTTTTTTGAAAGTTGGACCCGGGCCTGTGCAGAACCGAGAAATGTCAAAAATGTACTACCCGGAACCGACGCGGACCCTCGATTTTTTGAAAGATGGACCCGAACCCGGCCGGGAAGACACAGACCCGACTGGACCCGATCGGCACATATTCCACAGCAAATTGCTATTAACAAGTCGATAAACAAGTTGTGAAAATGTAACTTTTTGTCTTACCTAATGTAAGAAGCCTTCTCCCTTGTACCTGACTGTGATGCACACAATCCTCCTTGCCAAGAAAGTT